CGTGAGTAAATAGGGAGTACAACCTTGGACTCAGACAGCAGCCTTGTGGGGTTCGGTTACAAAGAATGTGGACCAGGGAAATACTTTGAGATTACAGCTTGTCCAAGGTCATTCATTATTAATACTATTAGTAATATCTTCGGTAAAGACTTTGATGCATAAAATATTTAAAATATTTAGATAAAAGTGGTAGGTTGTGTACTTTTGTCCAACTGAGCAATCTTGTTTTCATAAAATATACCAACTTTTTAATGTACAATGATTAACATGCTATAATACACAGTTTAAATTTAAAAGTCTAAAGAGTAGACAACTTAAATTCTTAATTGAATAAAGATTGTCCCTCAGCAGTGAAAGGGATTAGAAACCGGGTGTTTTCTGGTGACAGCTCAAATGCTGTACAGGAGGGGTTAAGCTTTATTAGCTCCACCTGCCGGTTTTACAAGGTGATTCCAGATACTATTAATTATCTAATTTGCATACGGTATATTGCGACATGCCCACCGCATTGTACCGCAGCGCACCCCTCTCCTTTTGAATAGCTGCATCTGTATGTGGATAATACTGGCAAGCTCTTTCACGCTTTACATTTTAAAATAAGATGAAAAGGAAACAGAGGAAAAAAAGGTCAACAAGGCTTTCATCAAGTAAGATTTCAGCAAAGTGCACAACATACTTGAAACTCTACTAACATGCAAATTCTTTACAAAAGCTATAGTGTGTATTATATGCACATTCTATCGTGTTCTCATGATTTATTATACTGTATTTAATCTATACCGAAAAGCTTCTCACAATGTTAAGATGATTTGATACTAAATTAATTCACATTAATTACCTTCAGCAGAGGCGTCATGTGGGGCAGCAGCATAGGTCTTGATCGTTTTTTACTTTGTTTTGAAAAATCTTCCATTTTTTTTAGGTGATCTTTTCCTGTCAATGAACTCCCAGTAAACTGAAACAAAAATAAGACCAGCACAGTGCTCTCATTCTTTTGTTACAATTAAAAAAAGAGAAGGCGTCAAGGGAAAGTAAAAAAGTGACAAGCTTTTGACTGACTCTGTGCTATGTGGATGTTCGGAAAGGAGAAGGGTTCCATAGCTCGGCATCGCATTGTATTGAATTGACACTGGGTCGATGTACAATAGATATCCTGTGTAATATATCTTCAAATTCAAAGTCAGTGGAGTTGAATATTTCCTCAGTGTAGGCATGCTTTTCTACCAGCACAGGAACTTTGTTAAAGAAATCTGAACAGAAAGAATTGGCCGGTCTCCTGGGCTCCTGTCTTGTCTCCTTGCTCTATTTCTGACTCTTCCCCCTCCTTTCTAGGTTCCTGCCTTCTCTTAAAAAAAAGTCAGGCTGCCTGGTTCTCATCTGGGCTCAATAATTATTAATGCACTTCAGGTGCAATTGAAATGACCAGATTACCTTCCTTAATTTAAATAGAATATATTATTGACACATGGAATAATATTAGAGGAGACTATTTAAACCCAATTAAACACAATATATTTTGTTTTCTTTTAAGTGAATAATACAGCAGCATACCAATACAGATGCCCCCCAAGACTGTTCTTTCACAAGTGCTCTACATACTCTTTACCAATGACTGTTGAGCATCAGCGAGGTCACATCCTTATATTAAATATGCTGATGACACTGCACTTCAGGTAAGTTTAAAAAATACAGCAGTGGTTATTTTTATAAGAAAATGAATGACTACACATTGATTACTCTGTTTTACAACGGTGTGATCCTATCCAGACTATTCTCTTTTGCTTTATTAGTGTATGTGGTAATTTGCAAATTAGAGAGGGTTGGTAAGATATAGCAGAAGGGGGAGCAACCATCTTTTGCAACGCAAGATAAACACCAACAGACTTAGAAGCTCTTTAATTCCTGCAGCCATAATACTGTACAATAACACTGCCAGATGTGCATTTCGGTTACATCTACAATTCCACAACAGTTCAAATGTACCGACTCATTGTAATGCTGAACTGTATCTTGTAGGATTTCAGACTGTTTTTTTCTGTACTTATATGAATATCTTTTCTTTTTATTGGTGAAGGTTTTAAAGTAATATTGCCAAATGAATTTCCCAAATCTTGCATAATAAAGGTCTTCTGATCTAATCTCCAAATAAATGATTTTTATTACATCAGAGGATAGGATTTAATAGCACTACAGTACAAGATGGAACAGGAAGTTGTCTCACAGGATTGGACTTGAACATATTTACTCTTTAGTCCCTTTCCAATGGTTGGCAGAAACTGGTTAAAATAAGAAAGACGTATTTACCAGCGATCGTTTTGCATCGGGAAGGAATTGTCCGAATTCAGAAAGCAAGTCCTCTTGCCCTTTAAAGAGGCTAGCAACTTTAGAAAAAACTTCATCTTCAGTCATCCCACTTCCAGGTCTTCCCCTAGACTCTTTGACATCCAACTGCTCCTTCTGAATAAAAAAAACCATCACAAAAAAATTTAATGATAATCACATTAAACTGTGTTCCAACCTTCAAAAGACCTGGAGAAGAGAATATATTTTAATGACAACCACTTCAGACAGGCAACTTTTGGGAAAGTTGGAGCAAGGCCAAAATTAGGAAAACAAAAGTGCATACTTTCAGTTGTTTCTCAGTACTTTGAAATCGGTTCAAAGCATGTACTTTCAGTCATAATTGTCAAACTGTAGTTTGATACTGGAGTTCAGAAGTGCAAACAATGGGCACAAGGCAGAGATCATCTGTAATTCAGCACTGCCAAGAATGCATTCTATTTTTTTGTGCCCATATAGTGTAAATGTTAGATAAAGGATTGAATGCACCTCAAAGACTTCACGTTTTAAGACTGAAAATTCCTATAAGTCAAGACTTCCCAATCAGAGCTGGGCCAAATGCCATTCTTTTGACTCAATTAAATTTACTAGTTTCACATCTTCTCACCTATTTCAGTACTGGGGAAGGTCAAAAGCAGGTTGAGCTTGAATATGTTAAATGCACATTACTGTGGGAGTGACTGGTGGGAGATCACAAGTATAAAGAGTGTGAGCAAATGGATTTTAAAGCAATCATGTTTTAGACAGTACTAGACAGCTAAAAGATTATTATTAACTCACAGAAAGCACCATTGACAAAAGCTTACCTGATACGTGTGCAATATTTCTAAAAATGATCTGTAAATCTCAGGATGGTCCAGAAATCTGTTCTTGATCTTGTTGACATAACTGATGGCACTGTCAAACTCAACAGGGCTGGGGTCTGAGGCTGGACATGTGGACTGAGCCTGGTTGTCTTTGCACACCAAAGGCAAACTCATCTTCACTGGATGGTCAATAGAGCTGTCCAGAGAATTATTACTTTCAGTTTGACTGCTACCAGTGCTGACCAGAGAGGAGGTGACCACAGCAACAGATGCAACTGTGACCGGGCTCTTTGCATGGCCTGGAGAGACCTATTAGAAGTAAAAAAATTATTGCCAAATGCAACCACATATAAAAGAAAAACACGTAATTAAATTATGAATTTAAAGTTAACAAAGAAATTGATCCAAAATTAACAATTATAAAAAGGTGCAATGACTTTTTAAATGTTGGTTCAGACTTTGCTTCCCATTTTCTAATGGCTTTCAGAAGCTTCTGTACTTAGTCTGTGAACACAGTGTTCCATTATGTGCTTGTGTGTGGATTTCAGCTTCTGTGTTGTGAAGGAGACAATTAAATTGGTGATTAAGCTCCTACATACAAGACACAGTAACATCTCTTTAATAGACAGATTTAGTCAGAGGAGAGAGGGTAAGTATGCTGGACATTGTCCAAGATCAGATGTGGTATATTTAGCAAATCAGTTCAGAAAAACAAATGCATAAAGTACAAAATCATATCAGCTTGGTAGGAAATCCTCAGTAAAATGTCCATGTTTACATTGTAATTTTTTCAGTCATGTTCCTGTCCATGGTACTACAAAATAACTTCAGGACATACTCTTACTACATTGCTTTCCAGTATGATTGGAAAAACCATAGAACAGCAGAGATATTTTAAACTTCTCTTAGATATTCTAGAAAATTTGAAGTCTACAGAATGATGTCCTTTTATCCTATTTTGGTTGTGAAGTTTTTTAAGAAATTATTACATACAATGTATATTGTTAAACTTTTTAAAAAATAAAAATACCAATACCCCACACTAATCGCATAACCAAGTCATTTGTACATTTTTTCTTGGGCCACCAACACTTCCAAATAGTTAAATTAAAAACATTCGTAGTCAAACATGATACACAGTAAAAAATTATTTAACCTAAAATTGAGGCTTTAGCTTTAGGATGTTAGCAGTGTCAACCAAGGAAATATAACCCCACTCTGAATACATGTTGTGGAGGTATGATGTACTGCATGAATCAACTAGTTATCAGAATCAAAATATTTGAGAACTATCAAAAAGTAGTTGCATTCTAAACAAACAAAAGCGGTTTCTATACCTAAAAATATCACTTTCCAAGGCTTTGGTCTATAACGTAAAGAAAGCACTGCATGATAGTTATCAGAAGCAAGCTGACCTTACATCATGACCAAACAGACTTCCTGTATTAGGAGGCACATTTGTAAATATTTGTTTGGAACAACCTTTGCAAAAAGCTTAATCACAATTTAGCATTAAAAGCAGCCTGAACACTGAACATTGAAATTTTACCTTCTAAAAGCATCAATACCCAAAGACAAATTTACTGAATTGAATACTGCAGGGTCAGCCTAATCCCACACTGCCAGCAATAGCTCAGGCTGAATGCCATGAAGGCAAGACGATTCTTCCTTCATAGAGATGAAGATGCTGCCTTCAATCCAGGGTTATAGGAATTAATAAATGTCCCACCTGTTCTACAGTTAATTGAGATAAGTGCAACAGTTTTAAGAGTTCTGATGATCTAATCCTGTTCCACAGAGGCTTCAGACATACTATGGAGATGTTAATGCAAGCATAGCAATATTATGTTCTATATTTGACTCAATAGAAGCTAGAGGCTCAATTTCTTTTAATCTAAGTGCTTGGCTTGTTCATAATAGTGTCTTATACAAATATACTAAAATTCTAGCTATGGTCATAGGTTTTACCTTATTATGGTGAAAGTTATTTTTCTAACAACTGAAATACAGTTTCTGTTCTAAATTAGAAGAAAAAAATATGGAACAAGCCCTGTCATTAAGCATTAATTGACTTCACATAATAGTGTTAATTTCAGGAGTGTTATTTGTCTGTAAAATCTTCATCTATGTTTTGTAACAGCACAAGTAATTATTTTATAATTTGTTAGGAAGTCCAATAAAGATGGAAAAACTTAACTCTGCAAACATATATACAGTATATCAGGTGGCTTAGAATTTTTTGGTGGATAATTTTCAGTCCTGCTAGAAAAATCAGAAAAACTGTGATTTCTAACTTGGAGCAAATGCTTCTGTAGAGAATCAACACATTTCCCAAATTATGCAGAAAAAAGGAATAAAGAAAAAGGTAATATAAAAGTGGAGAGTTCAGTTCCCTGAATTTGCATATCACAGCAGTTTAACACAGTAGTCTAACTATGCACATCTGAACTTTGCTTTTCCATGAATTAGGACCATAAATAAATACTGGGCTCTCAAGAGGCCAGAGTAAGAAGGAATCTATTCTAACATGGATTGATAAACTTGACAATGTCCCTTTCAACCCTGTGATGATGTAGATTTGAAATAAGATGGTAATCTTATCATTCATCTGCTTAAAACAAGACAAAAGCAGTTATAACCTCAATAAAAAAGTTGGTTCAATACAGGGAATTTAAAATTATTTAAACGAGGAAAGGTGCATATCAGAGAGCCAAAGCAGGCTGCCCAATATCTCACCGAACACTGTCAAGGTGTCAGACACCTCTTAAGTCTCTGGAGTAGCCATAGACATTTTGTGGAGAACAGAACTCTGTTTAGCTTTCTTAGCTTCTTTTTATTTCTCATCACTGCGACTGGGGGTCACCAGTACCAAGGCAGGAACATGACGTTTCTTCTCGGAATGTGATGTAGTAGGAGAGGAACTAAGATGGAATTGATAGAATCATTGCTTCAATTTTGAAGAATGTGCATCAGACTCTTACCGTCTTCCTCCTTTTTCTTTCTTTTCTCCCTTAAAACTAAGGTGTCACCCACATCAGGACCTTGTATGCAGTTTTAAATTTAACTGTATGGAAAACCTTATTCATAAGGTTTACTTAGCTCAATCAAACAACAGCCACCAGTGTTACGAGATTACTACACACATTAACTGAGTTCAAAACTCACCTTAACAAAGGAATAATGCTTGATTTAGAAAATGTCTGTTTCAATCTTGTCTCAATCTGTCTCAGTAATCACGCTGTCATACGTTCAACCTTACTAAAAGACACCTTGTCTTCTTAAACATAAAATATCACACACTGGACCAATTCACTAGCTAAAGCATTCTGAGATTTATACAGACCTGGCCTGACAAAGACGACTGGAGAGCAACTACGCCATTCTTAGGTATTTCTATTCGATAGCCTGGTGGTAGAAAGGCATTGAATCCCAGTACAAGGTCAGGATGTCCATGGAAAAGCTGGGAAACACGGTTGATTACACCCGGTGTGTCAATGCTGAAAAAGGAAAGAAAATATTGAAATAATATGGTAATGGAGCTTTATATGATGGTATCCCATCACAGACATCCACATAATACAAAAAAAATACTGTAATTGCTTGCTGTAAAAATAAACTACAAATAGAAGGGAACATTTTCGACAATAGCAGAAATGTGTCTTCATTGCAAATTAATTTGCGATTCAGAAACAGCAAGGGTCATTCATAAAAGAGCTTGGAAAATGGAAACACACTATATAGCCAAACAAAAGCCTTGGAGTAAGGAAACCATTCTTTTAACCAAACATTTGCTTTGATTAGTACATGGCTTCATTACACAATCATGTTTATTTTAATTATATAAATAAATCATATCCTTATTTTTTATAAATGCCTTGTGATGATGACGTGTTTATAGGAAAAGGAAGATAATACTACATGTTTAGCATACTTTATGGGAGCACATCAAGTCTGCACATTTACCATCTTCCATGTTCCAGTAGGGCGCAATGGGCATAAAATAATTTAAAAGGGGCTCAGGGACACAAGAGACACTTCTTTATACAAAGAGTTGAAGGTATCTTGAACAAGGTGGGATTGAGGAGGATGATAAAAATGCCACCATAGCAGCTCACTGCTTGTAGGACATGATTGCTTTTGTAGATAATCAGAGCAAGGTGCTTAAACCACTTTGTCTACTGCTCATTCAAGAACTTCACGTCAAACGTTATGTGAATGCTTTAATATAACTCTTTTAACCAGTCTATGAATCAAACAGGTGACCCATCATGCCACAGATTGCCAGACGATTTTTCTTATAATAGCTTTGAATATTTTTATCTTCCACACAATAAGGGAAAATGTACAAAGTACACAAGCTCAGGTGAACTAACTGGCACTTGCTTTTCCTGAGCATGATGGGTTTTTTTGCCAAATTAAACAGCGGAAATATTCAATTAACTAAGCAGCCAAGTCTACAGTGCCTCCTACCTGGGGCCTGACCAATAAAGAGAATTTTGATCAAATTGATCTAAAGATCATATACTGCTATAGCAATGATGGAATCAAAAAACATTACTTGCTTACCTTTGTGATTTGAATTCTTTCATTATATCCAGAAATTTGTTGTATATCCCAGGATCATTACCAAACCGAATTTTAACTTGGTCCAGATATGATAAGGCATCTTCAACCTAAAATTAGAAAGCAAAATCTCATTTCAACTTTCATTTTTTTCCCCCCAAAAGACCCATTAGGTTAAATTACTTAAACTTTCTGACACCACTTCCAGTTAATGCTGATGACAGTAGTTTTCAAAACAAATATTTAGATTTGTTTTTAAATGAACAATTTAGAAAAACTGTTTTAAAATATGTCATGAGATACAGAAATGTGGAAACTAACACAATAATTATTATACACAAGGTAATAACAATTTAACCATTACCCTTTTAACAATAAGCATAGAAAATGCTGACAGAAGCAGCAAAAAACTAAATATTGTAAACATCCTGCATTCAGGCAATACAGAAATGTTTAAGTTCACATTTAATCATTTGTCAAAATAGTTTATTTTACACTAATCTAATTTTACAAAAAGATAAAAAGATTATTTTAATTATACATTTACAACATGATTTAACCTTATGTCAAATCCTTCAGAAATGTTTTTAAGAACAAAATTAAGTGCTCATCTTCCTATCAGCTCCTACTAAAATCTGAATAGAAACATATCCCCCTGCACACAGTACACCAATGTCATCAGTCCTTGCAATAAAACATAATGATGGAGCGAATCACTTCATAACTCAATTAAAAAATGTTGGAAGTGCAGGAAAATGTTTGTGAAAATAACAGATTTGGTGGCCATGTCCCATTGTTGCAGAAGCTGTAGGCTCACTGGCTGCACAGTTGCTCTTCTCATCATGACTAGCAATTCTGCTTATTGATCCTTCAAGCCTGGCACAGCACTGGGTCAAAAAACACTCTTTTTTTTTTTTTACCAGTCTCCAATACTATGCGATAGGATAGCCACTAGACCATTAGAATTGAGAATGACCTATATTGATGGAATTCACGTGAAACTGCTCAAGTTGATGGCATTTAACACATCACCTTTTTATCTGATCAAAGATATACCTTTTATGGGCAAACTGGAAAATAACATAAGGCGAATAATATGCAATTGTAAAATACAAAGTGAAAAGTTTTTTTTTTTTCCATCTGGGCTAAAACCCTAGCCCACGTTGGCCCTTTTTTGTCAGTGCAAGAGATCCTATAATCCAGACCAGTCAGTTCTCTGAACGTCTGACGATAAATGCAAGAGCAAATGAAAACCATCGGGATCTGATTTGAAATAACAGCATTGCTTCAACACAGGTCATTCTCAATTCTAAATTGTTTTTTAATGCCTAGATATCCCTGAACATCCTTCCTTTAAAATACACGTCAATGCGGTAATTGTCTCTAGAGCGTATTAGTAACCTTTTTCTTTTTATTTAAGAATTAAAAAAGAGAGAGCATGCTATACTGGCTATTACTGTGGGATTATATTTTCTCCATTACAACAAAGATCAGAAAAGAAAATCGCAGTATAAACCTGAAAAAGACTTGAAGAAGATACCTCTTAGCAGAAGTGAGTGTTATTACCCTAATGGTTTGTATCCCAGAGTTATCGAGACAATACAGTAGAACAAAATGTGACAAAAACACAGTTACAGAAAAGCTTGGCAAATTTTTCAACCCGAGCATTTCCTTTACATAATTTTCCTTCCAAAGTTTTAAACTTCAGTGCAATTGATTAAAAAAAAACAATTACAACCAATGTACATAAAGTGATGCACAGTGGCGAAGAAACGTGACCGTTTTGAAGTGTGCTCACAAACCCTCTCCAGGTCGACAGCAAAGCCTAGTGAGCAATCTGCATCAGTTACTATAACCAAATCTGCACTGTGTATAAGATCTCCATTGCATTTCATTTAAACAGAAGCACCTTTTGTCTCGTCAGCCCGTAGGAATGAATATATGGGGGAAAAGACACACAGCTCTGTAGGATCCATTTAACAAAGAAAGTACCGTAAAAAGAATTGTAGAAGAAACGAAAATACAGTTAAAAAAACGGCTCCGTTTGATTTTTGACTAGTTTTTAATAATCCACTACACATCTCACTATTGCTAGTTATATTAGTTATCTTCTGGGAAAGATCTCGCTCAGCTGCGTTTGCTCACCCGAATCATGCATCTCGCAGGCTGACCACATCGCTGAACAAACAGCAAGAAGACATTTTCTGTTTTTCTTACCTTCAGTTTCTGAAAGTGTTGTTGCTGGACTTGTTTCTGCACTACATAGGCCTTGTCCTGGATGTGTTTGATTTGCGGCATGTTGTTATGAGCTCGAATTTTCGCCATTGTCCCCTAATTCCTCAGAAAATATCTTGGCCTGCGAGTGAGGAGAAGGAGGGGGGCGGAGGGTCCCAGCTATTTAAAACGCCATTGTTAGTACACACTGACAGATATACAACTCACGTTTAAAATCGACTGAAACATCGAAGAGTAAGACAACGAATACTCAGAGAATCGCCCCAAAGCTAAAAGGGGATAATAAAAAAATAATTCTGTCTCTTTAAATTCGGCGGCGGGGTGCAGACTTGGCGTCCGGAAACAGAAAAAAAGACCCAGCGCGCCTGCGCAGAGCAAAAGCATTCCCGCGCTCGGCGCTTTCTGCGCATGTGTGAAGTTTTGCCACTTTCCTCTGGAACTTGTCAGCTGAGACGTTGGCGTCATATGTACTGTAAAAAAAATATTACGATCCCCCGCTCCCTGGACGGTATAAGCAAAGAGGAGTAATTGCTTGCATAAATTCCATATTTTTTGTAACCCAATTTTATCCACTTTTAGTTACGTACAGCACACACCTTCACTTATAAACAGCCTTTAAAACATATTGGGACAGCAAAGTCAAAACTCATTTTTGCTTTAAGTTTCAGCAATTTGCTCTTGAGTTGATGAGATTAACATGAATTATAAAGCCAACAATCTAAGTTTATTGTTCTGGTACTTTCACACATGCCTTTTTGTGTACTGTTCTGTTCTGGTTTGTTCTTTGTGTGTTCTGGACTGAGTAACTCTCATCTATATATTACTACTTGGTAAGCTATAAAGATTGCGTCATCTAAATCATCATTTGTATGCCAATGATACTCAGATCTACAGACATAGATGGATGTACTTGGTTATGTGCGAATATGGCTGTTCTCAAAGGTTCTCTGCACTGGTAGTACACTCATATACTACAAGTATTAGTACATGGTACATGGTATGAAATTTGTCTGTGTGGATTATTTTACAGCTTGTGAATGTTCTAATCGCCACTCAGTTCAGTGACATGAGAAACCTAAAGAGGAGATGATACACAGTGGCACTGATACATGGGAGATGTATACATTTAGTATACATTTACACTGACATGCTTACAAAGAGTACATACACACAGATATTGATGGTCTGAGACAGAAATGAAGGTTAATATGCAGAGTTAGATAAATTACAAGCCACTTGAAATTGCAGTGAGTTTTGACATTTTTGTGATATCCTTTGATTTTTGTTATTTCCTGCCACTTCACACTTCACATACTAGATAAGATAAATAGACTGGTTAGACAGACAAGATAAAGGTGTCTAAATAAATATTTCTTCAAATGTGAGTGCCTGACCAGACTGGTTTTATAGTTTGTTGAAACAGTATTTAGAAAAAAAAGGTTTGAAGAAATCAAATATTTTTCAAATGTTAAAAAAGCCTTGGAACACATTTAAAAATGGTAATGTGTGTGACAGTTACCAGTGACTCTTAGTATAACACGGCAGTGCAGTGAACTCAGGTGCAAGGCAGAGCAAGCAACAATCACGCAGGTAGTTATAGGTAAAGTGCAATCCAAGTAATAGTCAGGAATCAGACAGGGTTTGTAGCCAATTGGAAAGCAAAAAGAAAACTAGCACTGAAAGCTGTGATAAAAGTGGCAGAGATCAGGGACCAAGGACAGATAGGAACAGACAGAGGGTGAAGTTGTCTAGTTGGGATTATCTTGGCTCTGTAGCATGATGGCACACTAGATAAACCACCTGTGTCTGTTAAGTCGTTTGGCTCCTTCTGTGTAGGCAAAGTAAAACCATGAAATGTTGAGTTGCCCATCCATCAAGTGTCTCTATTCATCAAGGACAGGCTTAACTGCCAAATTTTCTTGTCGCCAAGGTTATAATTTTGCTCACCCAAAGAAAACTTCCTGGAAAAAAAGGCACATGGGTGGATAGATTTGAGGACAATGATGGCAAGTAGAGTAGGTTTGTCTGAAGTACAGTGGCCACATACCTGGATTGTTAAATTGGGGAATAAAATCAAGCCTTTTGTATCACCTTCCAGGTGTTATGGGACTATACATCTCATACATAACACGTGTAAAGCCATGCTAGAAGTTTGATTAATGAGGGACTGCTGGTAAATTATATGGTGTCAGAATCAAACACCTTTGTTGAGGCCAGAGGACAAAAAGGTTAGAAAAGCTTTGATAAGAATATAGCAAATGTGTCCAATACTGGTCTTTGAGGACCAGTATCTGTTGGTTTAGGTCGCCACAAAATTTGTGTTTATATAAAATAGTATGTACCTAAAGAGCTGGATGAAGCTTTTCAATTAGCAAGTAAGTGAATAAAATGAATAAATTAATGAATAAAATTACTTAAAATAAAATTAGGGGCATCGGCAGAGACAGAATTTATTATTAACACTGACAATATATTCAGCTGCCTTTTCTGCATTGACGCAAGGATGGATATACACTAACACAAAAATGTTGCAGGAATTCACAAGGTAAGTAGTTTGGGTGAAGAGCAACAACCAAAACCTCTTGATCTGATACGCAGAGCTCCTCTTGCACTACTGCAGTTTTACACCACTTCTAATTAATGTACAGACAAACACCATTCCCTTCTCTCCTCACTGGTACTGTCTTTATTTATATCAAGGTGGATTAGAGATTCAAAACCATCAATAAACAAGTCCTGGTTAGAGACTTGGTTTTTTAGCCACATCTCTGTAAAAGCTACAACAGATTCCTTTACCCTTGTTGATAATTGAGTTGCAGTTCATCCAGTTTGTTCCACAATGAGCGTACATTAATCACAATAATTAGTGAACATGTACAGTAGACAATATGTCATTGCATACTCAGTGTGAAGAGGCCAATGATGTGTTATATTACCAAACAGACAAAACTCACTAGCCGAATTTTTGAACAGGGTTAGAAACAGCAAAGATAAAAAGACCCTGACAAAGTACAGGCTCAATGACCACAATCTGGCCATAGAAACTGGGTGACAGGCAGACCTGGCTGCCCAGAGAGGACAGGCTGTGCTTCCACTGCCAGCAGGGAGAAACAGAGGCAGACATGCACATCCTACTGGACTGGGAGAAATATTCTGGGATTAGACAAACATTGTTCCCCAAAATAAATCTCAGAATTCTCACACCTGCCTGAATCAGAACAGCTCCCAATCCTATTTGGAGAGGGATGAGGGAACTCAACTGAGCTCGTAGCACAGTAGGTGATCTCCTGTCACAGCCTGAGGAGCAGTGAGCCTGTTTCCCTGTAATGTTCTAAGTGTTATATGTTGTATGTAAATCTCCTATGATGTACAGTATTTGAATTGCTACTGGCTGTGGTAGATTACAATGGAGGTCTCTCTAAGAATCTTGACACAATGGGTAATAACTAGTGTCAATATTCCAATTTACTAGAGCTTCAAACTAAGGGATTTTTACTTGGTTGTTCTGGGTGTGAGAAACACTGATCAAAAGAATCTTCTGGTTTTAGTTAATTAAATTCTCGATTGTCAATCGACAGTCCAGAAAGACACCAAATAAGATCAGATCAAGACAGTGAAAAGAATAACAGAAAAGAAAAGACCACAAGGGAGAAGACAGGAGGAGAGGACTTAAAGTCTCAGCCATCTGAGCTCCTGTCAAACAGTTCCTTTATTTGAGATAATCTGAAAAGACTCGATTGAAGCTAAGTATTTGAACCTTGCTAAAGAGAGCTTGCTATTCTGTATTAAGGAATTTGGATTTCCTGAGTGAAGAATACCTTGGTTAAAAAAGGCCTTTCATGCTTGGTGGATTTTTTGAATAGGGAGAAAGGCTTTCTAATTTTTTGTAACATCTGTAGATGTTGTATTGACTGTCCTGTATATGCTTTAACAACACTGTAATTTACCTGTTTGAATTTGAAGTAAACTGACTACTGCTCAGATTCGTATTACAGCTAAAAAAAGGAAATGTAAAAAGTGCTCATTAAAATTACAACTGTTTAGGGGTTAAACATAAACTCACGGTAAAGAAACAAATTATAACAGAAATATGTTCTTTAGCAGTTTTATTTGGAATGTGTTGTATTTGCACTGCCTGCTGCTTACATTGCCTCTTTGGAATGAATAAAAGTTTGAATGGAATCAAATCAAGAAAATGAGAGAAAAAAAATTCACAGACATCAGTGTCTTCCTGTTGCACAGAAGCATTTTGGTGTAGTGCTAACACATACCATGCAAAGCTTTCAGAAAGGAAATCATATAGTAAAAGTGTTAAAAGTAAAAAAGGGAGGTACTGTAGTGTACAATGCACTAGCACAACTACATTTAGAATATTGTGTACAATTTTGGTCATGTCATGAAAGTAGTATTGCCGCTCTTAAATTAGTCCAGACAAGAGTAACCAAATGAATTATTGGAGCTTAAACTAAGGATGTATGGTGTGTGGGTTCACATGTTTTCATTTGATTTCAGCTCTAAATGACCCCAATTAAATCATTGTTGACTAAATCTGATCTATGTAAAAGCCTATTCTAGATTTTCAAGTGTTGCTACTTTAAAGAGCCCTAAACACCTGTCCAGGATCATAATTTCACATCCCTGACTTAAAAGAATGTTGTACATTGATATTTTATATGAAGAGAACAGTTAAGTGTGAACTGGAACAGGGGTTCCCAGTCTTGGTACTGGGGACTAATACACTTACTGGTTTTCATTTCAGTGGAGCTCCTTACTTAAATGAGGTCTTAATTGAAACAATGCATCATTGTCATCTCTATCCAATAGGGTCATGGTGGCCTGGAACCATTCCTGGAAAGCATTGGGTGCAAGGCGGGATACACCCTGGATGGGTCACCAGATAATCGCAGGGCACACACAGACACAAACATCCACACACTCATACCTGGGCCAATCTTTAGAGAAGCCAGCTAATGTACCAGCATGACTTTGGACTTTGGGAGGAAACCTATACAAACTTGTGAGAACATACAAACTCCTCACAGATTCAGCAGCAGACATTGAGCCTGGCCCAGCACCACTCCGAGGCAGCAGTGTTAAGTGCTGTGCCACCAAGCTGCTCATGTGAACCAACATGTTGTCTGAAGTTACTTAAGATAGCAGCTTTATATGTTTATTGTAAATACATCTTTGGGCATTAATTTCTTAATATGGTCTCCAACAAGTTTAAGAACTCAAAACAGTCAGTCAGGTCAAATTAATACTATTAGGTCAATTAAGATGTCATATTAATTAATTTTGTGTAACTGAGCACTTGGCTGTAACAAATGGCAATGTGTACGTGGTCCTCCAGGACCAGGATTAAGAACACCTAATATAATAAATGCAATAGTTAAAAACAGCCTACTACATGTTTATGAACTGAGAACAATAATGTTCAATTAAGGGTTCATGACTTAATTGTGTCTTCAGGTGGAACAAAACCAACAGGCGTATGGGTCCCCAACATCAGAAAGAGCCTGAGAATGAAACCTTGAGCTAGAGAACACTATGAGGAAGCATTTTTAGAAGATAAATTTATTCTACCCAATGTGCTGTGGGTACTATATCTGGAACAAGGTATCCAGCTATACTGTTAAAGTTGATACAGTGGCTTCTTTCAAGAAAATCCTGGATAAGCTATTCAGATCATTTGGCAACTATCATCCTCATCTGATAAATAGCTTTATTTTACAGTTTTTGTTTCTTACATTCATATTGAAACTTTTCTGATAAAATAGGATGCTTAAAATTCGTTTTTACAATTTTCCACTGAATCTTCACGGGTGTGAAGGTCAGGAGAACGGTTTAAAATGGTTTATATATTTTAAAAAATACGGGGGAATAAAATCAACAACATGGCTGAAAAGCAAGAACAGTCAGCAATAAAAATTTATTCTCTATAATGGATGCAAATAAATTGCTATCTTGATGGGGGCGGGCAACATGCGTGTAGGGAACTAAGTTCAGTAGCAAAGACGGAAAAACCTTCAGCCAGGTGTACTTTACTACTGTCTCCACACGGAAGACGGTAGTCTCAACGGTATATGTTTAGACCAGGCAACTACTATGCGACTTATCTTTAACGATCAAGACTAATTTTTAAAGTCAAAGGTTTCTAGGTAAATCGCTGAAAAAACGGTCTTGAACTTTATTAGATCAAGTAAACTGACACCTGTACTTGTATTGAAGGCAGGAGTTCGATACAAAACGGGTTCGTTTACCAAATAGCCTGGCATCATTTTAGTTTTTTAAAAATAGTTTGGGGTATTTTTCTTAAATCTACAATGTTTGACTCAAGTAATTTAAACAGAAGCTTTCTACAAAAATTGAGCAAGCTGGTTGTGCTTCTGTGCGCCCTGTCTTTTTCGGTCTCCCTACTATTTTATTTCAGAACTTTCGATGTTCTCCGTAACTCAGTCCTCCCAAGTCAGCAACTAACTCGCAATAGATCAGCTATAAGCGAATCTGAAGCGATTGTCGGTTCATGGGACTTCACCTCTACTGTAACAAGCCCTTTTGGAACAGGATCGCCAACAGCAAAGACTAGAAGACTTGAGAAATGTCCTGAAATCCCACCGCATCTAGGTAAGTTCAATTCCTTGGGGGAAAAATACATTGTTCACTGATCATATCTGTTGCATTTTGTTGTATCGTTGTATTAAAAGCAATCTAAAATGGCAGTTTCCTTTTCTTTTGTTTTTCATATTTTTTTATTCTCAGTCACTCTAGGGTGTGAACACTGAGAGGGCAAATGACACTCCTTTTTCTTCAATTTGTTTCAGCCAGGGCAATTGTACTGCTTGGAGATTCTGCCTCCAGATGTAGCCTAGGCATCTAATGTATATAAATTCTTTGATTTAATTAACTAAGCTAAATAATATCTTGTCCTGGTGAACACGTTTCAAAACAGCCAACATGCAAACTGAAAATTTGAAAATGAGTTTATTATATGTATACGTGTCAATCAGCCCAAGAAACACAGCATTTAATGTCAACACTAATGTTTTCTAAACAATGTTAGTAGGAATGTTCTTCTCTAAAATAACTTTTCTAATCAAATGACAGCTTCATGAGGTCCTCGGACCAACCGGCCTCCAGTTCCTTGTGTTCTGATGTTTTTTCTTCCTGTAAAAAGAACTAGGGTATATTTATGAAACAGAAGTTAACTATTTTCTCAAGATTTAAATATTGTCAGCATAAAGAGGTAATCAGTTCATGTTAGTTAAAGCTGAGTGGAATGGGAGGTTGACCAGTCCTTGATCACATCAGATCTCGGAAGCTAAGCAATGGAAATTGAGATGTGTAGGAAAAAAACAGATTGCTGCTGTGAATAGTATTTGTGAACCAATAGATGGCATTCTTCATTCTTGAACACCATTTCTCCAAAAAATTCATATGAGTGATCAGTCTCCTACATTAATGTGGGAGATGCATTTCTTTGGAGTAGACCTAACGGAGGTCCTGACTTCTTGATGATTGCCATTCATCTTAATTATGACTAGGGATTTTAACTCCATTGTTTTGGCTAAATTCCAGTCTGGATTTACCCAAGCCATCCCCCTAAAGTTCCCTTATAATTTGATAAGCAATGCAACTTCCCACTTTTCTGTGTAAACTACTGTGTAGTGGATTTGCAGGTGCACAATGGCAGCCATGCACCACCCAGTGAATATTACACTTTAGTGGTGGATGAGTGGCTCCTCTCATATATAGATCCTTTGAAATGAAAAGTTCTATAGAAGTTGGCCATGATTACAACATTATGGTTGCTTTGGTAGCCGATATATTTGATCTTTCTACAGCCTGTTAATTAAACACCAATTAGTTATGCATATCAGAAGGATGAGGTTAGCTCAATAGTGTGCTAGAGTATGAAAGGTGTGTCTTCAACTTTTCTGAGTTAATTTAGTATTGTTTGTGGTTGATCCACTTCTTCCTTTTGTTAATATGCCTTAAGCAAACTATTTACACAACTTTTGTTCATTTTTATTTCCACTTCAGTGGGCCCTTTAAGAATAGAGTTTTCTGAGCCAGTAAGCTTGGAAGGCATAAAGTCTCAAAATCCAGAGCTCAGAAAGGGAGGCCGGTACTCCCCAAAAGATTGCATAGCCCTGCAGAAGGTGGCCATCATCATTCCATTCCGCAAACGAGATGAACATCTCAAGTTTTGGTTATATTACCTACACCCCATTCTCCAGCGGCAGCAGCTAGACTACGGAGTGTATGTAATTAACCAGGTAAGAATTCATATTGAGATTGCTTTATTCACCTTCAAAAAATAAACTTATACTTAATTCTACTCTTAGGTTTTACTTTTGTTGTTGAGCATTGAAAAAAATGCAAAATTATTTATAATAACACTTCTTTGTCAGATTGTTCCCTATTATGGTCTTGAGCTTCCAGTCTTTGTTGATGCCAGTTTATCGTGCATAAGAATTGAGTTCCTGCTGCAAGGTTTTAATTTTGTAGTTCCTGTCTGGAATGAAGATATGCATGCAACAAAACTTTTAACAAACTGTGATAAGAATGAGGTTATACTCCTAGGCTCCCAACCTCAGCTTCATAGTGACTTCAGTGTTGTAGTGTGATGGTGCTGAAATCAAACCTTTGATCTATTGTAAGTTAGAAAGCTCAATGTTACTTCTGACTCTGTAATCATGTTAAGTATGTCCCACCACTCTAATAAGGACCCTTGCACTGTATATCTGACATAATCCTTGATGCATGCCTTTAATTATGAAGAGTATACTGTAGCATCTTACTGAGGTATCTACTACAGTAATACATATTATATAATAAACTTTACTTTATATTGCGGCATTAAAGGTGGCTTCTCAAAGCACTTTACAGAATGACAACAAGAATAAATAAAAAGAATACACAAGATAAAACACAACACAATATACAGAGGAGACTGTGGATGGTGGTACTAAGAGATGGAGGTACAGAGCAGCGTTACAGAAATCGGTGCGGGAGCCGGCGAAACACGGGAAGAAAAAAAGCCAGGCGACCTGGTTAGTGAGCAGTTGGAGAGAAGATTAAACTGGGTGATACAGTAGTTTGGGAACGAAGGGTCTGTGCGTCTGCGGGATCCATAATCAATCTCGGTATTCTGTAACGCTGCTCTGTAAAGTGAAAAGGATCCGATGCAGATGCAGGAGTCGTTGGGAGGTAAGTAAGCGAACAGAGCAAAACCAGGAGCTGAGTCATAGTCCGAAGGTGTAAGGTAGGTCGAGATCCGGTAAAGGCACTGGTGGCGAACAATCCAAAATGTGAGACTTAATCTTGGTCGAGAAGAGAGCTGCAGGGTCAAATACGAAATAGGCACAGATGGCAAACAATCCAAGGGGCGAGCCGAGATCCGAAGAAAAAAGGGGCAAGTAACGCTAGGCAGAGCAACAAGAAGTGGGTTAGAATAGTATAAATAACCCGGCGTGCTGCACGATAGAGCAATAAAAGGTGTGTTAACTCGTGCGGCGGCGCTTGTTAATAGTAACCCGCTGCTGGTGCTGATTAGCTCGCTTATGCGTTGATCTCTGCTGGCTGGTGGTCGTGACAACGACTCCAGGATAGGAGTAATGTGATCATTTGCACTAGACCTGGTCAGGATTCTGGCTGCTGAATTTTGGACATACTGCAGTTTGTTCAAAGTAGATTTAGATACCCCAGCAAGTAGAGCATTACAGTAGTCAATTCGAGAGAACACAAATGTGTTGATCAGCTTTTCAGCCACAGTTAGTGATAGCATAGGGTGTATTCTAGTGATATTATATCGAATATAACCCCGAGGTTTTTTAATTTAGATTGAAGCTCAAGTACAGAACCATCTACATATAGGGTTACAGGATTGGCTTCACGAAGTTGATGGGGGTGCCAATAAGCATGACTTCAGTCTTGTCGCAGTTAAGATGAAGGACATGTTGAGTCATCCAAATTTGATGATGCAAGTTTGATGATGCAAGTAGATAGAATAGAGACAGCCACATCAGTGTAATGGTTTGGTATGGATGTATAGTTGAGTATCGTCATTGTAGAAATATTCTACAATATTTCTAGACAGATTTATAATCTGGAATTAAAAAGCATTCAATTCATTTACATATCCTACTCCAGAACAGATTGAAAATTGCAGGACCATCAATACATTCAACTGAAACCTCAAAGAGTAGCATCAAAGGTATAATATTGCATTCATAATATAATATAGCAATGTCATTGAGCGATGTCACACTCAGAGAAGAAGACTCTACAGTGCTCTATATCTTGGGAACAAAATGTGGTAAATTTAATTGTTTAGAAATAACAGTCCATGCCTTTAGCCAAATAGGAGGGTAGTTCAAGCCTTTATAAGAAAATGCAATTTGCTAATGTTAGCTTTTTAAGGCCAAAACAACAATTCTTGTGGTTACAGTATGATATTGAAGACTGATTTAATTTTACTTTTTACTAAAACACATAGGAGAAAATGGCATGTCTTTCAACACCAGGAAGTTTCATTAGTTTATTTGGAACTGCTCTGCACACTGTGCAAACAAGAAGAAAACATTTCACGCCAAACTTAAACACTGTTTTATTTAAACTGGAGTCAATTAAATGTTTTTTCTCCATGCAACAGGTGGCAAATGGATATTTCCTTATTTTCTTTGGATAACAAGACACCCCTTTATAAAAGAGGATGTATTTCTACATTTACGTGTAGAATTGTGTTACAGCTCAATGTATACAGTGCATCTGATTTTTTTTAACCATGTTAGTCTAAGTATAAAGTTAAAAATATATTTGTATATATTTATATCCCAGGTTTTTCTGAGGACAGAAACTTACAAATACTAGCATTTTAAGAAATCAAAGCCTTGACCAGGTAAACCAAGAGAGCAGATGTATGTCCAGGTGAAACAGAAAAATACTTGTATAAATGGAAACTATGTGTAATTTGGTCTAAAAGTAATCCCAAAACAAGTCAAACCATTTTAAGGGAATGAATTACAACAGAAGAAATAATTCTTGTGTCAAAAACAAAAAAAAAATATGATAATAAAAACACATCTAAAAAATAGTTCTTTCAAAGTTCAGGTGCAGGATGGTTTTTGTTTGATCTCTCTGCCCTAAAAAAAACGAACAGGTAGCCTGATCAGTCAGGAATAGAGGTACTGGGCTATATTTCAGTAGAGAGTAATCAGGGTTTGCCTGAAGTAGTTATAATTAATCTTTTTTTGAGTGACTGCACATTAATAAAGAAGATAATTCTTTCTCCCCTTTAAAACTTGAATATTTTAATACAGATGTTAAGAAAAGAATCAAGAAAGTTTAAGAGATGGCATTAAAGGGTCAAAGATTGAAAAAGTGAACCTTTTAAGTTGCTACTTGCAATCAAAAGAGATGTACCTTTTTATTTCAAGAAACTTGTTTTGATTTTTTCTCCTGACTTTTCGATTCAGTTTGGTAATGAGACTTTCAACCGAGCTAAGCTCCTGAACATAGGCTTTGCAGAGTCTCTGAAAGACTACGACTATGACTGCTTTGTGTTCAGTGATGTGGATTTGATTCCTATGGATGACCGGAACATATTCAAGTGCTACAACCAGCCGAGACATCTGTCTGTGTCAGTGGATAAATTTGGCTTCAGGTATGTACCGCATATTAGAGCTTTTTTTCAAAACAGAGTACATAAATGCTTTTTTCTTTCTGTTTTTTTACTCATCTTTTGTGAAAACTAAACTCAAACTATTTTGTTTAACTGAATTATTGATGGGTTCCTTTCCAACTTAAATATATAAGTAAGAAAATATTAAGGAGGGTGGCACCACTATGTTTAATGTCTTAAATGAAATGGGGGATGAGGGAACTTTGACCTAATCATCGGTCTAGTTTGTCTAAAACGTTTCTGATGTGCAGCATAGTAGAAATCGAGGAACTAGAATAGGCGCTACTGCAGGAATCCTTAACTTTAAAGAGGAATGATTAACAATACTTTTTTCTATAAAGACAAATAATTCATCGCTGTGTAAATACTGACTCCCATTCCCCATTAAAACTTTTCCCAGATATCTTGTATGTCATATTTTACACTTGTTTCTCTGTACTTACTGAACGTGAGTCTGTCTACTTTTGAAGAGGATGGAAACGCAAAACCTTAATACGGATTATTTTACAGTGACTATCAAAAGTGGCCTTGGCCTTTTTTTCACATTTTAGTGTTACCTTTTGAAATCATAGTGCATCTCATTGTTTTTGTTTTGCTACTTGACACAAAAAACTCTTATGATGTTTATATGTTACAGGTCCTCCCAAATTAGTGTTTTGTGTCAATCATTGCCACAAAGCACAAAACCATGTGAAAAAATCCAAAGGGGTAAATACTTTTGATAGCCACAGCTTCAGCGCTATGAGACAGCAATATTAAGCACTGCATCACTGTGCTGTCCACATGGTACATTTTGGATATAGAAGAATACTTTTCTGTATTGCACTCTCATGTAGTCTCTCTTTGTGTCCTCTAGTTTGGGTTATATTGCTCAATTAAGGTGCTATTTCCTCTTATACTGTATATCTGTACAGTATATAGCTCCAAGCCCTGGTGTGATTTGTTCATTCAGATTCCATTTATATCACTGGGTGTCGCATGAAGCTCTGACAACATTCAGTGGCCACAATATGCAACAAAATCAGAAAATCTGAAAGGGGGGCAAATACTCTTTCATGGAACTGTACTCCCTTCAGAGAGTTACCATGCATTTTCCACTGATTTCGTATATATATATCCTGTTTTACTCTCTTAATCTGTCTTAATCTGTTTTATTAATATCTGATTTCCTGTATTTTTAAAATATCTATGCAAGCTTTATTCTTGTAAGTGCATTAACGAACTGTGTATGAAAGCAATCATTCATTTCTTTCACTTCAATTTCTGATGCCAATATTCCTTTACAGCTTTCCCAGTCTGGGTTGGGAATGTTGAACTGTCCCTTAACTTTTTTTTTTATTTTGAGCATACACTGTTATACAGTAATTCATTTTAATCAGCTTCTCTCATTTATTTCTGATACTCCTAGCATTTAGGTACAAGCACTTACAATCAATACCTCATCAGTGTTTTTGTTTTTCCCTTTGATTCTCCATTGGTCTTTGTCTCCATGTAACTTCCTTTTCTTCAGTTTCTTGCCTTGTAATTTGTCTGCATTGAATGTTAGCTAATAATCCAGTGTTGTAAGCACAATGCTACTTTAAACGACACAAACTGGCACAAATGTAGCACTAACGAATTAGGTGGTTTTCATTGTTTGTGGTGTCTGTAGGGGGGCGAACTTCACGGAGCTATAAAAATACTTTAATGTTATAGTTATAGGGGGTTTACATGCAGATTAAAATCTTTGTCTTCATGCTAATTTAAGAGAAAAGTAATTAGGAAACAGATCATTTTACTTTAGCTTTTGATTATAAAAAATGAGTGAGCCAGAGTCCTGTGCTGTACTTTTCGTCCTTCTGCAGTGCTTGGTATGCTTGATGCAATGCTCTGCTCTGCAGTGCTTGATGGTATTTTCATCTACCAAAATTTCCATTTAGCTACCTAATTCCTTTTTAATATTTCATATTATTTTTGTTTAAAGAAGTACTACAACAGATTAAATGTAGCAAATGTTTTCACTAACATCTGTTTCAGTATTTCATTTAATATATTTCACTAACATCAATTTTAGTTTAAAAGTAACACTTTTAAAGTGTTAATGTCCCACATATTGATCTTCTTTAGCCAATGGAGATTCTCTGGGCAGTTTACGATAACCAAAGTAATCTTGAAGCGGTAATGTGTTTTGATACACAATCTGAATGGCTGCACCTGTATTTTTGTTACTCACCACTAAACAAAGAAATGTTAAATTGAAGTCTAAACAGGTGAATTAAATAAAGTAGATTCCACTTGGCTTCCTTGGGTTTTCTTTATTCTGCCAGAACCTCTGCTAATTAGACATTTGCAAACATTTTATAATTACCTACATAATAATCTCCATTTGAACCAATAGCTCTCAATTTAGAGATCTAGAATTAAGGTGTGCCATCTGCATTCTGAAAGCTGAGTTATGTTTCACATATATTCATTAATATTTTCTAGTGGCATTAAGTCTAACTTTTTATTGACACCAACACTGATTAGTAGCCTCTGAAACCTAATAAGGGAAATTATATAATTTATATTATAATATTATATTTTTTATATATTCTAATATTATATAAAAAAAAATCTCAAAATGATCTGTGTACACTAGTAAACAAACTAGAAGGTCATTGATGCAAAACGTAAGCCTTTCCTTTGTATGATCTTTTAAAAGTATAAAAACAAATGATGCTAAATAGCCTCATTTATGTTCAAATGCTGTATTTTAGTCAGTAAAAGTAGTGTCCATTGTAAGGAAATTGTTAATGTATTCTGCTAGAGAGAATTGAACAGTAAATTTAGTTACACAAAATAAAAAGAACAAGTTGTCATTATACATGATATTGTGTTCACTGTAGTGGGATTGTATCTTGATCTGGTATTTCTTTAACTCAATTGTCTGCTCAATATGGTTTTCAATGCTTCCTGATGGCAAAATCTGGTCAAGCTTAAATTGATGAGTTATTAGTAAGCCCTGGTTTAATGTAGGACTCCTTTACATGCACTTAAATGATGCACAGACCCTGTATAAAGACTAGCTAGTTATTTATTACCTATTTAGCAACTAAAGGTGTTGGTAATAAAGTACTAAAACAGGGACTATTAGAGACCACTAAGTTAAAATATCCACAATTCTGTTTGTTCATCATCTCAGATCAGATACTTTTTTTTCTTCAGGTTGCCCTATGCACAGTGTTTTGGAGGCGTTTCAGCTTTAAGCAAGGAGCAGTTCTTGAAAATCAATGGCTTTCCCAACAATTACTGGGGCTGGGGTGGAGAAGATGACGATATTTACAAGAGGTATTTTTCTTTGTTCGTGTAGTTAATGTTGTGTTCTGACACATTCATATTCACATGCATGTGGGAATACTGACTGATCAGACTATCATGTACTGTACATGTACATGCTGTATGTAGTTACTTGTAGTATGCAGGTTACAGCGTGGATGGGACACCAGTCACAGGGCACACAGGTGCAAATACACACACATTCACACCAGGGCCAATTTTTCCAGAAGTCAGTTGACCTACAAGTATGTCTTTGGAGTGTGGGAGGACTCCCAGAGCACCCGGAAATAGGAAAAACATGCAATGTCTATGCAGATGGTGCTGCAAAGCAGCAAAGCTAACCTTACAGGGTGAATGAGGCCGCATCATACCACATGTCCTCCGAGTGGAGGAAAAGCATACTTTTATATGCAAAAATGATTGGATTCTAATTCATCGATGTAAATAAGGAGGAGCAGTAGGTCACTAACTGCCATTCACTGTTGCTTTAGATCACAAAAATTGTAGCACTCCTCATCTTTGTTTCCAACACAATAAATAGATCTCAATCAAAATAGTTACTTAAATTAATACGGCCTGCTATCTGAGATACTCTTATGACCAATAAAAGCTATTTGAAAATGGTAAATATACCATATGCTGTGTGCTGCTCATATCTATTATTGTTGTTACCTGATTATAGAACTCGAGAAATTCACCTGTCTAGAAACAGTCATTTTAACTGTCACTATTACTTTTCCTGTTCTCATACAGATGATACTTTAGAATTAATTATCATACTCATAAACTTTGCATGTAATAGCAGTAAGACTTAATCAGTCTATTTCTTAATTCACTTTATGCATCTTTGTGTGGTTAAACTATGTAAACCAACATGGTGATACCTGCAACATTTGCAGTAGTATCTTTTGAGATTAGACTGTAAAATGGTAATGCTACTATTACATGCGATGCAAAGATGCTCATTATGTATTTCCAACAAATGATAAATCATTTTATCTTTGGTACAAATCAATTACCATAAGCTTTATTGAATCATTTTGTTCAAAGTTTTTAATATTTGTTTTATTTTTAAAGGGTAATATTTCATGGCATGTCTATAACTCGACCTGATGGTATCATTGGAAAATACCGAATGATCCGGCACAACAGAGACCACAAGAATGAACCGAATCCACAGAGGTATCCATTTATGTCATTTTACTACAGGTGCCTTTTCAGAATGGTCCATTATATTGTCCAGTTTAAAAAGACTTCAATTTTTGTTTTTGTCTGAATTTATAAAAAGTAAATTAATACAATTTAAGAACTACTTTCATGTTCTAAAGAGACGTTTACCATATATTATGACACCATTCCATTTCCAGTTTTCTATTTTTTAATGAAGTTCCAAAACATACTAGACAAGAGTATTTTGTTTTTTAGTATGTCTTTATTATTATGTCTTTAATATATATCTATAAGTATTTGTATTTATAACATTAAGTAATATTTTTGTATAAATTAGAGTATATTAGAGTATCAGAGTATATTCCCCAAGCAGCCACTTACAATTAGCTGTTCACTGACAGAATAGTTGGGAATAGGCATTTTTGGTCATGATAGCTGTGGAGTACAATACAGTACAATCTCTGAATTGTTTACAGGATTGTGGCTGAGTAATCAGTCACCTCCAGGTTCAATGCAAATCATCCTTGACCACAAAGAATGACAATGAATTTTAAATTACTATTTATAAATGTAATGTTTGTGGTAGTTTTTGGTAAAGGAATGGCATCTTCATGCCAGGATGTACTAACAGCTTCTTTCTCACAGTAGTACGAAACATTGTCTTTCATGATATGATTAGAGCACAGTAGAACCCATATCCAACTGCAACAAATGTTGTAACTACCCTATCAAATAGACACTTAAGCAAGGGATATTTTACTCCTATGTACAGTAAAATGCATACAGATAGTGTGAGCAGTCTAACAGTTGGTAACAGGCAAGAGCATATAGCTAGCAAGTTATTGGTTTACCTGTTGCTTTGCCTTAACTTTGAGCAAAAGCCCTACAAAACGTTGTCATTAGTGGGATGTGCAAAACTAGTTCTGCAGTTACTCCTCTAATATAATGCTCCTCTAATTTTTGTATGGTTACTTTGAACAGGCTCTTATTTTACAAATATTATATACTCTTGACCCCTACACATGGTAATGGGATTTGCATGCAGTGCTATATACTGTATATTATTGACAGTTTTCCTTGTTATTTGGTAATACTTGCACAAGAGGTTTCCCACCTTCTTTTGAAAGTATTAAAAGAAGTATATGAAAATGTTTTCAGTCTAAAGTGCACATGTCAGGTGCGCTTTGTTTTTCACTATAATATCCATCCATTTTATAACCACCTCTACCCAGCAAGCAAATGGCCCAAAGCTGGAAATGTGCTGGAGGGGATGCCACACTCACACTAGGGCAAAATTGTCTGAAGCCATTTAACTTGCCAGTATGTTTTTGGAATTGTGGGAGGAAACCAGAGCATCCAGTGGAAACCCACGTGAACAAGAGGAGAACATACAAACTCCATGCTCCCAGATCCAAAATTGCACCCAGGGCCCCAGTGCTACAAGGCAGCAATTGCTAACTATTGTACCACTGTGCTGCCCCATACCCCAAAGGTACCAACGGAGCTACTGAATTAACCCTAACCCTTTGATTGGTCTGGTTGGGACTGGATCCATGATATTATCCTGACAAATCTACAATATCTGCATGATATTGTATGTGTACAATATCTGTACCAAACTTCTGGTAATAACTGTTTTATGTGTTTTATTAAAATATGCAAACATCTCTGCCAAATGCAGAGTGCCATAGCTAAATCTGATGGTTTATAATTTCTGTTTACAGGTTTAACAAGATTGAACACACTAGAGAATCAATGGACACAGATGGCATCAATTCACTCACTTACAAAACAGTTGAAATAGAAAAGAATGAATTATTTACAAAAATAACAGTTAATGTTGGAAAGCCAGCATAGGAACTTTTCTGAACTTGTATATTTTTTTAAACACAGATATAATGGATGCACTTACCAATTTTACACAGAGATGCACAGTAGATACATAAGATTTTGCTTTGTTTTGAATGTCCAGAGTGCAGACATTATTTAAGTATGCTGACAAATCTGTACATCTCCAAGTTCTTTCTAGGCATTTTTATTAGTACACTCAATGAATTGTACAGTATATGCATTGTTTTCTGGAAACAGATCCAGATGTGTAGCACTATATATAAATCAGCTTTGGGTGCTGTGTATTTGATGTCTTAAAAGTAAATTCGGTATATTCTCACTTGATTCATATTGTCTTGCTTTCTAATAGTGACTTGTTAGTTCAGTTGGGATTCATTTAAGCAAAGACCTCACAAGCAACATCAAACAACCTGTGTAGGTTCTCAGGATGATGAAAAGAAACCCCTGATGTAAACAATATAAAGATGTGTAAACAATATATAAGACTTTCACTTAATGAAAACCTGTAATGGTTTAATTGATTATCGTTAACACTTTAGGGGTTGCAAATGCTATTTAGAAGTATTTTAGATATGAAAAATGTTAAATATATTAAAGATTTAATAAAGTAACATACAGTAAATGTGATATTAACAAGCCACTATTACTTTAAATGCATGTTGGTAAAGTGGCTGACCATAGCCTAAGCTACATTATTAACTAGTTGAAAGTGTTGTAACAAACAAATAAGTTCTGGACTCCAAGGTGAACAAGTAAGTTTTATTGCATGCAAAGAACAATACAATCTGAATTGGTAAAAGATTATAGTTGCAGAGCATCAGTTTATATAACAAACTTCAGCCGTTTCTGACAACCCAGTTATAATTGGTGATGGGGGTGGGGGGGGGAGACTACCTGTGTTTGGACATTCTCAAGATCTTGAGCACTTTGAATGACTGGTCTCATCCTCCCTTACTTAAGTGATTCCAGTTTCTCTTATCAGTCAACTCCCGTCCCTGCTGTAACTTGAAAAGTGCTGAAGCATGGAATATTTTGTACCAAAAGAAGACTTTTGTAGCTAGAAATGCACATTTTAGCCTAGTAAATGTTTGAGGGAGCTGTTCACATTTTTTGGGAAAAACCTAGAATAGTACACTCGCTGATGGAAAAAAGAAAGAGACAAGAATAACAGATTATGAACTACACCAATAATGAATCAATTACTTAAAATGCCAATATAGTTCAAAACTTAGCCTAAACTAGTACACATCATAATTAGTATTACATAGTTATATCCTGTGCAGTTGAATTTGTGATTAAGGGAAACTAGTACATACAGTATACTATCACCTTTTCCATGCTCTACACGAGAAGCATTTCATGCAAGTATTTATTTACTTAAGAACAATGTGCACCAGAAAGAAAGCTCTGTATCATGTTTTGCATAGATAAAGCAGATGCGCCAACTCGCAGGGCTTAATGCTGTACATGAGGTAAGGAAAACTGATACTATTGATAGGCCATTTGAAGTTTAGTAGTCAAAGTCATGGAGAGTCTATCATTCTCAAGGGTAGAGGTACACCAATATCTATAATTTTCAGTTTACACAATTTAATTAAGGAAAATTACAAATCAGTTATTTTGGTTATATAGCCTTTTGAGCTGTAAATATATAATCATATAAGGATATTTATTGAAAGAACCCAGGGCGTCTGCCTTCGTGACATGGATAAGCAATGTTCCAGACTCCCACAACAGCAGGAGTACAGCACCTCCTGTTTTCAGGATCACGCTTCACAGTGGTCCAGGGTCCTCCTTCCCAAACCAAGGTTCATTTCAGCTGGGAAATGAAGGACAATGGTTTTAAACAGGTCCAGTTAACACTGTTTTTTAGGTGCCAATTCTTTAAAAAAATGGAAAACCTGAAGAGTAAGTCTGCCGGGTCAGGATTGGGTGTCTCTGCTCTAGAGCAGCAGTTTCCAGTCCCGGTAAATTGCCCCTATAACTTCATATAACTACTACAATACAAAGGAACACCACTACAGTGTACCTACCCAGTTCACAGGCAGTATCCTGACCTCTCCAACAGGAACAGGCACTCCAGTTAATTTGCTACTACCAGCAAAATTAACTAATATAAGAGCCCCCACTCACAAAAACTTCAGTCAACTAGAGTCTGGAAAAAATCAGAGGCTTGTCAGATGCCAGATGTCACCACTTTGGAACTTCTGAATGAACACAGGAGCAGTGACCCTTTTATACACCAAGCTGGGCTGGCACCTCCACAAGGACACTACAAAATGTTAGTCTATCAGAAGCAGATTCATGCACCTAAGCTGCTTTTCACCAGGTAATAAGGAAAATATACTTCTTGATTATACTAACATTATGGGAAAGCAGGTTGTCTTCCTCCTCAATCCCAGAGAAATAGCCAACAGATTCAGCCCTGTAAAATTACAGCACACCATGAACATATTCTATCCAATACATAGCAACCAATACCCACCCCTGTTTCGAACCACTGAATAGAAACAAAAGCAAAGGGAGTCACTTGTTTTATACCCTGACTGGGCTGGCACCTCCCCCTTGAAATATACCAAAAACAGAGAAGAGTAAAGCATCAACATATTACAGCTATAATAGCTGTGAAACAGGTTTAACCCACAGTTAAAAGGGGCGACTTAGTATAGTACTTGGTGTAATGCTAGATCCCATTAGAAGGCTCCGGAATTTAGTGGAAATAATATCATCACTGGGTACTGAATTTATGCATACATCGCTTGGAAAATTATTGCAATATTTAACTCAAATGGCTTAACAATCATACCACATTTATTAACAATGAAGTTTATTAATACAAGTGTATTAAAAGTGAAGCTTACTAATTACATTTAATGTCAATCATTATACTAGCTGTGAATTTTAGGATCCTAGGGAGTGAAGAGAACAGAACTTAAGCAAATAGTTATATACTGTAAATGGAGCATGAGCCTTTAATGTGTTCTTTAAAATATGGGACTCAACTGAATAGAGTTAAATTATGTTAAATTTAAATGTTAAATTATTTTATTGTGGTAATCAGAGGAAAGCAGGAATAATGAGGAAATGGATGGTACAGAGAGTAATATCTGTATGCAAATGCAAGCATATCTCAAGGAAAAAACCTTGTCAACTTAAAAGTGATTATTTATGATAGTTCTTCGGAACACTGCCCCATTTCTATACATATTGCAACATCATTCAGTGTCTCAAACATACTGTAGAACACATTTCAGATATAACATCCCAATAGAAAGGACATTGCAGCCACAAGACAAGACTGACTGACAGCGAAGGCCTCTCTGGCCTGGACACTCATGTAAGCTGGTGGGGTGGAGAGTGCTGATGTGGAGGAGTGTGGTGCAGAAGATCCCAATATCCAGGCAGAGGGAGATGATCGGCCAACACGATTTAGCAGAGCAACACGCGAGCATGCACTTCCCCATTTCCCCCCCACAAAAGAAGATGTTGGAACCGATTACAAAATAACTTAATTTGAAAGGTACTGTAAGCTCCTATTGACACAAGAGGAGAGAGAGAAAAGTTTATTTTAATTAAAGTTCTCAAAATTAAAGTTCTCAAAAGTAAGCAAAAAAGGCAGACCGTGGTAAAGAAATGTATTAAGTTAAAAAAATAGTTTTTTGCTCAAGTAATCTTATAAGTTTAATTTCCAGTTCTGTTAAAAATAAAACTTAATTTTACTGGTCATTAGTTGGTGTCTTTTGTAACGATTTAGCAATAGCGATGTGTTCGCTTGTTCGTCCAGGGGTTTCTTGTTAAAGGAAATTAAAGCCGCAATAGTACAGTAGCGTTCTGTTTCAAATGCGCAGCTGCGATTCTCATTTTTCCCTGACTAATAGCAAATACGTATCTCATTAATAATTACGTACCCTCATCCGATAAATTGTAGCCTAAATTCAGTTCTCAAGTTAAAAACTACCATTAATTTGTCAGGAAATTTATTTTGAATATAAACAAGAAACAGGCAAGGTAATAATTGTATATTAACGTGTCCCACGTATTAACCCACTAAACAAATTAATTGAAATGTTCAGATGCACAGTCCCCTGCAGTTCGGGCTAATTAGTACAACAACAACGCCGACCAATGGGATCCGGATTAAGCACAAGTTCAGCTGAGCTCCAACTTTGTTTCGGACGTTTTTTCGCTGCAATTGAACTTAGAGCTGGAGATGATCTCCAGAAAGTACCGTACTAACTAAACCACAACTTAGTACGCAGCTGCGCAATAACTCGGGAACTTAGTTGCAATTGACACAATAAGGTCGAATTAATCAAAAACACGAGTTGATCAACAGTAAACAAACTCTCCAGCGATGCCTGGAGTATAATAACTCTCTGCCCTGTAATACGGCTTTCCAGGAGCCCGTATTGCTTGACAAGCAGAGAGCGGAACCACAGTTCCTGGGCCGCGGCTCCACACCGAGTTCAGCGACGGACCGGCTGTGCGCTGTCGCACCAGTCATGAGTCAGATCCGTCGCACATATGTGACGCACAATAAAGGCGTGCTCGAACGGGCTTTTATCCGATCAATGGAGGAGCCTAAAAAAATAAAAAACAAAAAAATCAATGGAGGAGCCTCGGTGTTTAAGTTTTGGCCGCGGCTTTCGCCCAGTGAGCTCGGAGATCCAAGAACTCAAGAGAGTAACACAGCTGCTGTCCAATCGCCGCCGGTGGCTGGGAATAGACGTGACTTCCTTTAACATTGAGAGAGTGATGGGGCTTCTGTCTAATCACCATGGACTTCCTGCTACTGCAGGGAGGTAACGCCCTAACGTGAGTGACATGGGTCTAAACCAATCACCGAGGACTTCCGTGTACTTCCACGGAAATTCTACCCTCAACAGGAGTGACACAGCTCTGAACCAATCATCACGGACTTTTGTGTTTTTCCACGGAAAAGCCGCCCTCAACGTGTGTGACGCGTCTGTGGACCAATCACTGAGGATTTCCGTGTACCTCAGAGAAGTTACCGCCCTCACCGTGAATGACAAGGCACTCCGCCAATCACCGCAGAATTTCCAGTCTCAGGCTGAGGGACAAAGCCTTTGTCCAATCAGCGCAGAGAATTCAGCAGGAGGCAAAAAGGATACGGCTCTCGTCCAATCACAGTTTCAATTCCGGGATTTGACTGAATTTTTTTTTAAATTTTTATTAAACATATAGAAATTTACAAATACAAATACAACAAGAGGATCAGAGTCATGTACAAGAGAAAAAAAACGTAGCAGAAAAAGAAGCATGTATTGTTGTTCTAATTAAAAAGAAAAAAGACGCGAA